AGTGTGAGAGCATACTCACACTAGCCCCTCAAACTCGCAAAATCACAAAATGAGCGGCCAGATCGAGTCCTTGTAAAGGAAGGACTAGATCTGGCCGCTCATTTTGGGATTTCGCAATTTTGAGGGCCTAGTGTGAGTATGGGCCTCACCACACCACAGTCGAAAGGCTAAAAAAATCGATGGCTGTCAGAACAATTTCGACAGCCTCCCTTCGACAGTTTGCTATCCTTTCACGCACTTGTGAATGCGAGATGGAAAAAGCCGAACGCGCCTGAGCGCACGACAAGCATTAGTCCCGACCTTGGCCCCACTCACCAAATTTCGAAGCGAAGTCGACGGCGCAGCCGAGGACTGTCGAACACATGGGAGTAGGGCCTCGCTGCACTACTCTCGAAATGTGCAAAACGAGAGCGAATCTTCAGCTAAAACATGGAAAGATGCACGGCCATGATTTTTGTCTTTTGTGCATGTTGAGAGTAGTGCAGCGAGCCCCTAGCAGTAGCAGGCTGGGGATTCAACAACTTTCGACAGGAGGTGTAGAGAGAACCATTCTCTGACAACTTGCGAATTTTCTCCTGTCTCCAATTTCAAATTTTCTCCCATCTCCAATTTCAACAGCCTGTGTGGCCAAGAGAAACTATCGAAGGTTCACTCCACTACTGACCACGTGCACAATGTATCTTTCCATGTTCTAAGGGAAGATTCATCAGTCTCATTTTGCACATGGCCCTGTGTTTCTCTCCATCCATTGTTCTAGCGGAAGATTCCAGTGGTCAGTAGCGGAGCAAGCGCCGAAAGGTAACCCTTGTCCTTCTGTGCTTTTTTCTTCGACAATGGTCTTTTTTGAAGTTTTTTCCCCTTTTTCTTGTTCTTCTTTTTTTAATGATATGTTTCGGTTTTTCTTTCGTCTCTTCTTCCTTTTTCTCTTTCTGTTTTTTAAACTACACTATGTTGATGTAACTCAGTGGTTAGAGAACCCGTTGGAAATGCGCATTGTGGTATGAGGTTGCCATTGTGGTATGAGGTTGCCAGTTCAAATCTGCAGCCTCCCGCATGGACGCCGGCAGGGCGTTAGAATGACGCACAGCTGGACACACACCCCTTGGGCTGACGCATGGTAAGCTATTACATACACTGCCTGCGCACCACCCAGGGGACTGCCCATGGTGTTGTTGTATGTGGCGGCCTGGCCTAGGAGGGGTTTGCCTGATACAGTTAGCAGCCTAATGAGGATGCAGGTACGGGTTTGTGGTTAGACTGCTCATGTGTGTTGGTTACCTTAGGCTCTGCTTTGGGGGGGGGGCAAGGACCTGAGGTCGGATGGGGTCCCATTTGGGGGTAGGGTTGGCTTGGGACAAGCTCTGCTGGAGGATATCGGTGGGGAACCTACAGTAGGGGATTGAGGGATCCCGGCCGTAGGGGTGTTAGTAGACAGACTCTGGTGGAGGAAATCGTTGGGGAACCTGCAGTAGGGGGGGGAGGTTGCTGTCTGAGGGGGATCCTCCAAGATGGGATGGTCTGGGTCCCATAAATTAGTTGCTGACTGTAGATAGGTACCTGTCGTGGGACGTCCAGATTCCGGGATCCTCCAAAAAGGGTGTTGAACTGCTTTTCTGCATCTCTGGTTAAAACACGTCCAGATTCCGTGGATTTCTCCAATCCTCTTTGCTAGTGGAACCTCGCCTATCACAGTCCGTTGGCACTAAGTGTGCCGCAGGCGGGCATGGAGCTCGAACCCACAACCTCTTGAATGTCACTTGCGTGCCTAACCAACTGAGCTACAGTCTTTCCCCGAATACAACGTATGGTCATTGTAGCTGAATTTAGACTGAAAGATAGCCCAAATTCAGCTATAATAATGACCGTACGTTGTCTTCGGGGGGTTCGGGGGAGAGTTTAGGCGGCTGGATGTTCTTTGTTTTTTTTTCAGTTGCCTGTTTTTTTTTTATGTTTTTTTTTTTTAAAAGGGCAGCGGCCTTGACATATTATCATTGAGATGACCGACCCCAGGCAATTTATTAGTAGTTGGTTTTATTCATCAAGTTCCATCATCTGGATTTGAAAACAGGTCTGTATTTCAACAGTTCAGGGTTGTACCCACTGAGCTAGGCTCTTGGGTGTTTTTTTTTTTCCAGTTGTCCGTTTTTCGTGCATTGATCGTGTTTTTTTTTTTGTTTTCGTTTGTTTATTAACCATGGTTTTGTTTCACATTGCGTGTCTTGCAGCAGTCTCAGCTCTTGCGTCGTGGTGGGCGGAAATTGGCACAAAAGACAAAAATCACGGCGATGTATGTTGCCATCTTCTAGCGGAAGATTCACTCTCGTTTTGCACATTTCGAGAGTAGTGGGGCGAGGCCCGATTACCCAGAAGAAGATAACAAGACCTGTGCAAATATAATACCTACAAATCAAGAACAAGAAATACCCTCCTGCTCCTCCTCCTCCTCCTCGAGTCAAAGCCCCCACTCGGCGAAATTGTTCATTTCTTGACCGTCGATCTCTGCTAATCTAGGGTTGGAAGTAAAAGATACGGATAATCGGGACTTGGCCCCTCGTCTCCGGTTCCTGTCGTTTTGCGATCGGGATACCGTCAACTCGCTCGCCTCACATATCGGGATCCCCGTGCGGGCCCTCTCCGACTTCCAAGAAGGAGGCGCCGGCGGCTTGGCAACAGGCGGAGGATCGATTTCCCGCCAATTCGGGCGAAAGCAGCTGGTTGATCGACTTCCCGCCAATTCAGGCGAAAGCAGCTGGTGGATTGATTTCCCGCCAAAATTCAGGCGAAAGCAGCTGGTGGATCGGTTTCCCGCCAATTCAGGGCGAACTCAGCCGATGATGGAGTGCGACGGCGGATGTAAGAAGGCGGACGATATGGCTACCTTGCTTTCGGCCCCCCTAGCCAGCGCTCCTGCGCTATATGACTGTTTTTGGACCGGATAGGGTTTGTATACGTTCAGGATGATGGCGGGCTTAAGTTCAGGGGAAGGGGAGGGTAGGGGCAGTGTCGTATCGTTGTTCTTGGTGGATGATGTTGCAATGCTCGTGGGACTGTTCTTGGACGTAGCTGTGGGCCAGGTTCGGGACCTCGTGGGACAGTCCTGCTGATGATCCTTGATTAGCACAGTTGTGTTGTGGACCGGTAGTTGTGGGACCGTGTGGGACAGTTGTGGAACCTTGTGCGGCAGTTGTGGGACCTTGTGCGGCAGTTTTGGGACCTTGTGGGACAGTTGTGGAAGCTTGTGCGGCAGCTGTGGAAGGTTGAGCGACGGTTGGAAACCGCGCGGAACCTTGTGGAACAGTTGTGGGCTTTGGTAGTTGTGGGACCTCGTGGGACAGTCCTGGGACCTGGTTGTGGGCTATGGTAGTTGTGGGACCTCGTGGGACAGGCGTGGGGCCTACCAGTTGTGGGCTATGGTAGTTGTGGGACCTCGTTTGGGACAGTCCTGGGACCTTGTTGGACAGTCGTGAAACCTTGTGCGACCGATGTGGGACCTTGGAGGACAGTTGTGCGACCTTGGAGAGCTTTGTGAAACAGTTGTGTAACTTTGTGGGACAGGTGTGGGACCTTGTCGGACTGTTGTCGCCCAGTTGTGCGACCTTGTGTAACAGTTGTGGAACAGGTGTGGAACAGTTGTGGGACAGGTGTGGGACAGGCGTGGACCATCTTGAAGCTGGTGCGGAACTCTGTGCAACGGTCTAGAACACAGTTCGGTTACGGCGACTGGAAGGAGACGGAGTGGGAGGGAGGGATGCGTGCATGTGGAAGGGCTGTCAGAACAGATACAGAGGAGAATATTGCTGCTCACGGACAGTCTGTGGGTGATGATCAGGGTAGCGAAAGAAGCCTGATAAGGCGGTGGTGATGATTATGCGATCGTCCGTTGAACAAGGAGGATATGGATGAAGAGCTGTGTGGAGCGAGGGGGAGATCGATCAAAAGCTGGCTTGTGGAAAGTTCCGTTATATGATTCTTCTTTCTGATTGGCCTGCACGCTCGTTGTTAACCACTATCGATTATCGGTCTGTTTTTCTTGATTGACTAATCAATCAATCGATCAATCAATCAATCAATCGACCGATCGATTGATCGATCGTACGGTTGATCGGTCGATGATCTACTACTCGTCGATCGTGGCTCTGTCAATTTAAGACGAACGGGGCAAAGCCAAGACATCGATCGATATCCCGGCGCTTAGTGAGTCTCTGACGAAGGCCGGGATCTCGATCAGAGTCTTAAGTGTATCTTTATTACAGTATTATGATTATTAGTGTTATTGAAGTGATCCTCTTCGGCGAACACCGATTCTATATTGGGAATTGATCGATCGACGGGTCCATCATCCGCCGTGGATGGATTGATGGGCTTTGATCGAGCGATCGTGTTCCGGAGCCTTTGATGGGTTAATCGAGCGATCGTGAGCCGTTGATGGATCATCGGTTGAGCGATCGTGATCGTAGTCCTGTGATTGATCGATCAATCAATGGAAGGTGTCGTTGATTGGTCGGTGGATTGATGATCGATCGGTTGGGGTGCTGTTGCAGGGGTGCCCTTGATTGGTCGGCGGATTGATTGATCGGTTGTGCTGTGGAAGGTGCCGTTGATTGGTCGGTGGATTGATCGATCGATCGGTTGCGTTTTCTGTTGATCAATCGGTAAGTCGAGTAGTTTCTTTTTTCTCCAATCGACTTCTGTTTTTTTATAGTGATCGCAAAAATTCATCCAGAATTCGGTATCGGGACTCAGCGGGTGTCCCGATCCCGTAGCGAGATTCATCATTCATACTGATTGCTGATTGCACAGCTTGTCATCCGTTTCCGTGTACCAAGATTTGTAATCACGATCACGGGTCTGTATGCCGTCTAGTGTAATAATCGCGATCGGGATTCGAAATCGAGGTCCATCTAGCATCTCATCGGGATCGCCGGTTGGGATAATTCTTGTCACCTGTCCCGACTCGACTCGACTCGACTCGACTCGACTCGACTCGACTCGACTCGACTCGACTGCAGCAGAGGAAGATTCTTGAGTGTCAGCGATATACAGTAATACCCAATCGAGATTATCGGATCGTGATCGGCATAGTACAGTGCGCATCCAATCGAGATCAAGATTGGTGTGTGAGAAATTACGTCATCGTATCTGTGGAGTCGAGATTTTGCGGGAAAGGTTAAGAAGCATGGCTGATACAGCGTGTCAGCGAGGAGGAGGCCATTTCACTCTCCCCTCCTCAAGTCATGGAGGGATCCCGACTATGCTGAATTCGGGGAGGTTGAGAGGAGAGGGAGAGGTGGTTGGTTGTCCATCTTCATCTTCTGCGTGGGGATCGACCACGTCAGCCCATCATAATTCTCCTCCTCCTCCTCCTCCTCCTCCTCCTTTCGCGACGTCGACAGGAGGAGGAGAGGAAGAGGTGGTTGGTCATTCATCCCCTTGGGCATCGGACTCTTCAGCCTTTCGTATTCCTTCTCCTCCTCCTCCTCCTCCTCCTCTATGTCGTCGTCCTCATCGTACTCCAGGTACCGACTCTGCTGTCCTCGATAGCATCTCTCTTCTTCAGACAGAGACAAGTCTCCTGTTTCATTACTACCGCTGGAATCGGACGGTAGCTGTGTGGAACCTGCCTACGGTTTTGGAAGATTTCTTGGGCATCAAGCAGTGCCACGATCATATGATTGATTGGGCACTAACTACAATTCATCGTGTCATCATTCTGGGTCTGTCTGACGACGGGTCGGAGTCGGTAATCTGTACGGCATCGGGTGTGCGACATCGCCAGCAGGAAAGTGACGACGAATCCCCATCATCATCATCGTCGTCGAATGATCTGATGCCTTTACATGTGGTCACAAAGCATGACAGTGGACTTCTTCTCCCCAGACACGATCTGCCCAGCTATCTCTACTTGAGCTTGGAAACGTTCCTCTACTGCTGTGGCGCCAAGAAAGCCTTGTTGCACTTTTGTCGTATTCACGGCATCCACGGAGTCCCAGGCATTCCCGACAATCTTCTATCATCTTCCTCCTCCTTCTCCTCCTCCCCCTCCCCTTCTTCTTCTACTTCTGCTGCTGCTGCTGCTTGTGTGATTGCTGCTGCTGCTTCTGGTGCCGATGCTGACGTGGCAGGATGGGAAGGTGGGTCTGCTGGAAGAGAAGGTGGAGATGGTGGGGAGACGTCGATGATGACACCGAGATGGTCTTCTTGTGCTGATTGGGTTATGGAGAGGTGTAGCAGCGATTATGCTGCTGCGCCTTTCTGGCGCAGCTGGACGGCATCGTCGATCTTGCCGCCGCCCTACATTTCCCGCCAAAGCGGATTGTGGATAAACTTCTACGGTGCTGAGCTGTCAATCGAAGATATTCAAGATCAGTTCGATGCCCTGGGCGTCACCGGATACACGTACATCAAGCTTCACTACCCAGGTGGCTATGGAAGAGACGGGAGGGAGATGGATGCCGCAAGGCCGCCTTACGTGGACGTACAGTTCTTGGATATGGCGACGACCATGGAGGCGTATGACACCTTGAGGATTGGTTTGTGTGCGGAGGTGGTTTTGCGGCAGCAATCAGTCGATGAGGACAGGGATGGAGGGGGGGAGGACTTCAACCCCCTTGTGCAAGTTTGGCCAAACGTGCCTAGAGAAGCAGCGAGGAGCCAAATTCTGCCAGCTTTGAATGCCCACGCGGGTGGCACCCGTTACAACCCCTCGGTCAAGATGGAGGACTGGCCACGACAGAGCCCCTCCTCTACTCAAAGCAGAAGTGTGGGAGAAAGATGGACTAGAGGAGGACAAGCAGGAGGAGGAGGTGGGAGTGGGAGTGGTGGTGGTGGTAGTGATGAGAAGGGTGTGGAAGTTGTATTTCTATCCTTTGATGCTCTCCGACGATGCCGAGGCAAGGAATACGTGTACGAAATCGAGAGTGGCGGGAAGGAGGAGGAGGAGAAGAAGAAGGGATTCACAACAAAAGCGCGGGAACATGTGGCATGTCCAGGACGAGGAGGAGGAGGAGGAGGCGGCGGGAAGGAGGAGGAGAAGAAGAAGACAGGTTGCACAACAAAAGCCCGAGAACACGTGGCATGTCCAGGACGAGGAGTAGGAGGAGGAGGTGAGCAGTATTGCGCGCGAATACTCGGGGGAGGAGGAGGAGGAGGAGGAGGAGGAGGTGAGCAGTATTGCGCGCGAATCCTCGGGGGACCTATCTTCGAAGATTTGGTACACTGTACTCTGGACTCATTGGATGCTGGAATAGAAAGGCGGGAGCTCGTGAAGGCGATCAAGAGAACCTGCCCCGGAGCTCGGCCACGTGGCTTGTCCATCTTGACCGACTATCAACAGCGTGGCGACACGTGGCAGTTCTGTATCGATCCTATGTCGGCTCTGGAAATCAATTCCCAAGGCGGACTTCAACTCCCTAATAACCAGCAGGCGCCCATCCACCTCACGTTTTGGGATAACACGTACGAGTGGCGGCAAACATACCACAAAGACTACAGCAACCATCGGCGCGCAGGTGGTGACAAGACGAAGGTCGGGGTCTCCCCGATCCCGATCCCGACTGGAGCGTGTGTGCACGAGGAGTCGTCTAAGGGGGGGAGGAAGGTGATGCCAGCAACTGAGGCGAACGCCGCCGCGATGAAATACAAGTGCCTTGTTCAGATCGGCAAGGATATGGAGGAGGAGGAGGACAAGATGAAGACGAAGATGAAGATGGAGATGGCAGCCATAGCTGCTGTTGATGAATCTGAGCGTGTGGGTGGAATGGGAGTGCCAGAGACGGCGGCGACAACGAGGGGGGGAGAGGTACTGAAAGAGGAGGAGATCGTGCCATGGCAGCCGTGCGAAGGGGTGACAGAAGAGAGAAGGGAGAGGGAGGGAGAGATGAAGTCTCCTCCTGCTCGTCCTTGTCCACCTTCTTCTCCTGGAGTCGTTGAGCAATCATTTTCGAAAACTGCAGCCTTTGGCGGTTGGGAGGACGCAGCAGAAGAGAGAGGGAACGCCGGTGGGGAAGGCAGGATTACGCCTACACTGACGAACAACGGTACGATCGATCACAATCAATCAACGCGTTCTCGGCTTCCGGAAAAGGACATGCTGGATATTATGCAGAGATGGCCGGCGCTGTTCGGACCGGAGTTGCAGAAGGGCAGAGCAGGGTATGCTTCGACTGGGAAAACGTCGTTGACTCCTTCACAGAATGGGCGACCGGATGCGATGATGCCACCTGGCTTCCAGCGGGATGTGTGGCAGGACTGGAGATATCCCAGCACGCCGATCGCCGAACGGAATAGTACTGTCTCGGTCGGTACCGGGTGGGAGGACCCTTTTGCTACCCCGGAAGCCATCCAATCAGATCGCTTGACCACGGACTTCACCAGTAGCTGTACGAGCGCACGCGGCAGTCCACGTGACAGTCCACGTGGCAGTCCACATGGCGGTGTTGAGGAGGGGGGGAATTTGTCGTATTCCAGAGGGGTCTCGCTGTTGCCAAGCAAAATGGTGGCATGCGCTGACGACAGGTGGATGGAGCAAGATAACCACGCCCGTCCCGAGATCATCAGGATGGATGCTGTCGATGGTGGTGTGCACGACTGCATTGTTGAAGACGATGAGGACACGATGGCGCAGGATGATTATCACTGTGTGCCGAGCGAAGGCCATCAGGATGGGAGTGGCTGGGGGGCAGCTGCTGCACACTTCGAACGAGATGACACATGGCAGCTGCGTAGCTGCTCTGCGCCAACGGCAGATAGTGAAACTGTCGACGGTGGGAAAACTGCGGACGAAAGCGTGCCATCGGATGGCCTGAAGGAGGCGGTCTGGGCAGAAGGCGAAGCATTTGGCGGAGGTGATCGATGTGATGCCACCTCATCTGATGATGACAAGGCTGGGTGTCGAGGCTATGACGACAGCAGCGACAGCAGCGAGGTCGTTGCCATGTCGTCCCCATCATTATCATCATCATGGTCGACGCCAGCATCTGCCTCAGCAGCATCGTCACCACGGCAGTCGTCTTCGGAGAGTGAACCTGCTGCCTTAGGGAGGACAGACAGATGGCAACGTGTACAGTGTCTAGCGCAGTCGGCATCTGATCGTCTTCGTCGGCATGACGTGCAGTTGAGGACGGAGCTCTCGCGGCGAACCGATCGCAGGATCGAGCCCAACGCTCGCCAAGAGACAATGAAGAAGCCATCGCCATCCCTAGGTCTCATCGAAGAAGCAAAGATCGCATTGGTCAGTGCAGCAGATGTGCAGCAGGCAGACGAGAATCACTGGTCAACTGATCAGTTTTGCGGCTCTGAGAAGGGAGGAGTCACCACTGAATCTCCTCCTCCTCCTCGTGTGGGAGTTCTCTCTGCCGACTCTGCGGCGGCAGTGGCAGTGCTCCTGCGCTGTGTGGGCCGAGAGGTGTCGAGCTCGGAGTCATTCTTTTCTGCCTTTTCGTGCCAAGGTTGGGAAATCCAATCCCCGATTGATTACAGAATCACTTCCGATCCCGATCCCAATCCCGTCTGCTTGCCACCTGGCAGCCCTTCGTCTGGCACACAGGCATACGATCCCGATGCTGACATGTTCAAGCAATCATGCTCAGACTTCGCTGCAGGAGGCACACTTCACCAGACTCTTCGTTCCACGGAAACATCTGGTTCTGGATCTGCATCTGGATCTGCATCTGGATCTGGATCTGCATCTGGATCTGCATCTGGATCTGCATCTGCATCTGGATCTGGATCCTCGTGTTTGCACTTGCGAAGGCAAGCTCCCACTGCACCGACACGTGTAAGTGCTGCCGTTCAATCTGATTCGTTGGATCGCGCCACCTCGGCATCGTTGGCTAGCCTGCCTCGTAAACCCGCGTTCTCTCCATTAGCTCCGCTGGCCAGCTCCTGGGGGGGGGGGATGGGAAGCACAGAGCGTGCGCCCGGACCGGGACTCGACTTGCCTCTCGTCGGCAAGGAGTCTGCTGTGGTGGTACTGCCTTTGCTGCACGGAGATCCTGATCCCGACCCTGACTCGGAGTCTGCGCAATCGCCTGTGACAAGGGGGTGGGAAACAGTTGCTGCTCCCAGCCCGCCAGAGGGAATTCTAAGTAACGACGGAGGTCTGAGGGACAGGAGGTCGTCATCGACTCTTCGGCGGCGTGAAGCTCTGCGGTTGTTTCTGAGCCTCGACGATGACGATTCTGACGATGATGGACCAGCAGTAGCAGCGGCAGGAGCAAACGTCGATGGCAGTGGTGACGACACATTGACAATGCGGATTGGTGAGTGCTACAGTGGTTTGACTACAATGGACTCGTTCTCCACGTCGTTGTCGCCATGTGGTTCGGATTACAGCCGCCGCCTTTCGGATTATAGCCGCCGCCGCCGCGATTGCCACGTGGATGATCCTCGTGACTCAGAGTTCTATGGGAATTGGACCATGATCGATGGATATGGAGAAGCTGATTCAGACATGTGCGTCTCTCCGGTGTTGCCTTCTGGAGATGGCGGCGAAGGGGATTGTGTGTGTCGACCAGCAGTTTCCTGTGAAAGTGAGGAGGAGGAGAATAAGGTTGAAAGACCAAGAGAGAGAGAGGGGGAGGGAGAGGGAGAGGGAGAAGGAGAGCGGCGAAGCGAGCATGAGAGCTTGCAGAGCAGTTGGTTTCTGACAGATGCTGAAGATGTGATGATTAACGAGGATGGGCTGTCGCAAAAGCCTTCAAAATCTGCTCTGCAGTCTGGATACCTTTGCCCGGAAACAGTAGCTGAAGGCTCTGTCGGCGAAGACTCTGAGTCTGCGTGGGAGATGGTGTATGACGTCAGCGACTTCCGCCCCAACCTGTTGAAGCAATCTGCGAGTGGGAAAAATGACAGCAATTGCGAACCATCTGATGCCAGTTTCTTCGAAGAAGACGAGTGCCGCCCCCAGGAGCGGGCGATCGAGGAGCAGAACCTTTTTCGTTGGGGTTGATGCATGTAGCTGGACGTGATTGTTGGTTTCATTCTTACCTCTCTCGCAACGGGAGAGGGCGGGGTGGTGAAAGGTGAGTGTTTTTTTCTCTTTTTTTTTTTTTTTTTTTTTTTTTTAATTTTATTTCCTTTTTTTTTTTCTTCTGTGGCCGAAACGACACGGGCGTTTCGGGCAACGAGCTTCACGGCGACCCATCCCAGACCTGCCGCCCCCAGAAGCGAGCGATCGAGGAGCAGAACCTTTTTCGTTGGGGTTGATGCATGTAGCTGGACGTGATTGTTGGTTTCATTCTTACCTCTCTCGCAACGGGAGAGGG